GGGGTCGAGGAAGGAGCCGGGGAACGAGAATCGGAGGGACTAGCGGGGATGGGGAGGGGGTTTCGGTCGGGGCAGAGAAGACGAGGAGGGGGGAGGGGGAGGAGGAGGATAATGAACAAGGTGGAAGATGAATCAGAGGACGAGGATAAGGAAAAGGGCGGCGAGCGCGAGGAGGGGGAGGAGGGTGCGTCGACCAGCCGATCCGAAACAGAATCGCCATGCCGATGGGGGCAGGACGGGATTGCGCCGACGCGCCCGCCCCCGCGGATGTGTTCATTTATGGTGGCGTTTTTCGTTTGACAGCTGCACGTGTTGCGACCGGCGCCTGCTATTCGTATCGTCTGCGCGTTTGGATTGTCTGCGGTCTTGTGGGTGATGTCGCGCGCCCGCAAAGCACGCCCTGCGCCTTTTTTTTTGCTGCGGCGCGCCAACTTGAGATGAACCGCGCTGACTTGGTTTAGTGTTCAGCAGAGTTTGCCCCCCCTCGCGCGAACTCTCACCCGGCGAGTGCGTGGCGCGTCGTTTTGTGGAACATCGGCGGCGGTTGCCGTTCGCGCTGCTCGAACAGGGTACGCCCCTAGCATGGCGCGCCTATATTTCCGTGGTTCGCGCGCGCCAAAACGGCGAAGGGGAATTCGCAAAAGCTAGGCGTTAGTTTTGCGGGCAGTTGGTTATTTTTCCCGACCTAGGCTCTGCCTAGAAGAGTTCTTACTCGGAGGCTTCGGGGCCGGGCAGTGCAACCCGCCCCAGGCGGTTCCCCCAGGATCCGCCCCGTGGTTCCCCCAGTGACGTTCCCTTAGCCTCGCGTTGCTTATCTCATCTTAGCTTAGCGTTGCTCAGCTTTGCTTCATCTTAGATTTGCTTAGCTATAACTTAGCTTAGCTTAGCTTCGCTTAGCTTTCGCTTAGCTTCAGCTTAGCTCCAGCTTAGCTTTAGCTTAGCGGTAGCTTAGCTTTAGCTTAGCTTTAGCTTAGCTTTAGCTTAGTTTTAGCTTAGCTTCAACTTTGCTCCAGCTCTGCTTTAGCTTAGCGTTGGCTTAGCTTTTGCTCAGCTTTAGCTTAGCCTTCGCTCAGCTTTAGCTTAGCGTTAGATTAGCTTTAGCATAGCTTCAGCTTAGCTTTAGCCTTTAGCTTAGCTATAGCTTAGCTATAGCTTAGCTTCAGCTTAGCTTCAGCTTAGCTTCAGCTTAGCTTCAGCTTAGCTTTAGATTAGCGCTAGTTTAGCCTGAGCTTAGCTTTAGCTTAGCTGTAGCTTAGCTTTAGCTTAGCTGTAGCTTAGCTTTAGCTTAGCTTTAGCTTAGCTTTAGCTTAGATCTACCGTTACTAATAATGCTGCATTCCTAGGGGCTCCAACTCATAGGTAGGGTCGCACTGGGATAATCTAATATTTTCATAGTTTGAGCATGTTCAGCGTATTTTCCAACGCGCTGTTTCGATATCGCAAAACGTTTTTTGCTTATGTTTTTTTCTGTGTCGCTCCAAAGGTGTCTGTAGGACGACATGCCCGACTTAAGGCCTAGCTTCCGACGAATTGGCGAAGGGAAAACGTGGGCTGCGCACAGGCCGGATCCCTCCAGAAATCCCCGGGCGGCGCTTCAGCGATATCACCACTCAACCCATTCGAGCGGCCAGGTTCAGATGTAATCAATTTGCCAGTTCACGATATGCGCCTCGCCAAATCGGGAGCGCCGCTTTCAGCGAAGCATTCGCAAAGTTGGGCCGATGCGACACTTCGACCTCTCGCTTGCGACCCCGCTGCCGACGGATTTGCAGGCGAGGTATTTTCGCTTCGCCGCCCCCCAGCTGGCGCGCAACCTTCAGGGCACATCTGCGCGGCGCCTCGGCAATGGCGAGATCTTTCCCGCTCGCGCTTGAGCCTGTTGCTGATGAGTTGGCGAGCGAGAAACATGCACCACCCCGCGCAACTTTCAGGAAACGTGTGTGCTCGGCACTTGGGGGAAGGTGGCATTCCACCTTTCGTTGCGGGCGATGTGCGCCGCGCTCCGTACTCCCGCCGCGCATGCTTACACTGTCGACGACTGATCGTCCATGTTGCGCGCAAATGCGTAGACTTCGTTTTGGGGACGGGTATTTCGGATGGAAGGTCCCAGGTCCGCTTGCCCTCTAGGTGGTAGAGTGGGAGTATGCGCTGATAAGGATGAGGACGGGAGGGAGTTCGGCAGAGAACGAGGACGACCAGGGCAACTCTAAGTTTCATCGTTGAGGCTGCAGTGTTTCCTCCTGTCCCCCAGGCCCTTCGTCAAAAGTGAAGCCTCAGTTTGAGCACAGCCCTCATTTCGTCCGTGCAGCTGCTGGAAACTTAGGACCACGCGTGGGCAGCGTGAAGGCGAGGCTCGCATTTTGAAAACCACCTGTGCTCACCCGCTGGGCTGCTCGGGATATCAGTTGTTTGAATGTGCTTAAGCGAAATACCGGGCTTGCTATACCGACATGCTTTGTGGACGACGAGAAAGAGTGATGTATCAAGAGCACGGGGAAGGCAAAAACGGATTAGGATAAGTATGTGGATGATGATGGCGATGTGATGATGATGATGATGATGATGCTGATGATGATGATGATGATGATGATGATGATGATGATGCTGATACGGATGATACGGATGATACGGATGATAGTGATGCTAATGATGTGGATGGACGATAGTTCTGATGATGCTATATGATGATGATGATGATGATGATGATGATGATGATGATGATGATGATGATGATGATGATGATGATGATGATCATGATGATGATGATGATGATGATGGTGGTGGTGGTGGTGATGATGATGGTGTTGGTGATGCTTGTCATAAAGATGATGCTGTTGATGCTGATGCGGATCATGATACGTAGATCTACTGATGAGGATGATGAAGATGAGGATGAGGATGGGGAGGAGCATGTTGATGATGATGATGATGATGATGCTGATGCTGATGATGATGATGATGATGATGATGATGATGCTGCTGCTGCTGCTGCTGCTGATGATGATGATGATGATGATGATGATGATGATGATGATGGTGATACTGATTATGCTGATGATGATGACGATAATGATGACAACGACGACGATGACGACGCCGACGACGACGACGGTGATAGTGGTGGTGGTTGTGATGATGATGGTGATGATGATGGTGATGGTGGTGGTGGTGATGAAACTGATGATGATAATACTGATGATGCTGATGATGATGATGGAGATGGTGATGGTGATGGTGATGGTGATGGTGATGGTGATGGTGGTGGTGGTGGCGAGGACGAGGAGAAGGAAGAGCAGGAGGATTTTCTGACGAATGAGGACGATGATGATGGAGGGGGACGAATATGGTAAGGATTCTGCAGGTAGGGAGAGGAAGAGGACGTGGCAGATCATATGTGGGGGTGAGGATTAAGATGGATGCGAAGATGCAGAGGGGTAAGGAGGAGGAGGAGGAGGAAGAGGAGGCGGAGGATGAGCATGAGGAGGCGTGGGAGTGAGGGAAGGGGTGGAAGAGGACGCGGAGGGCCAGGAAGGGAGGGAGGAGGACTGATGCTCTGGATTCGAACGCTGTGGGTCACCCCTGAACATCCGCGCTTGTAGTACGTTTTCGGCGCTCCCCCGTTTCCGGGCTTGTATTTGCACCCACACGCCGGGGCGAGGGTAGAATCAGGTTTTGCGTTGTGCGGCCTCGGCCTGGACAGTTGTGCTTCTCGAGGGAGCGGCGTGGAGGCGCGAAGATGGCGCGTTTCGCGTTCCCCGCCGCGCGAAGCGCAAAGGCTGGAGACCTGCTCCAGCTGTCGTAATTGCCTGAGGCTTCGTGTATATACCCAGACCTCCGGCGTCGTAGTCTCTCACGACGGGGGCCCTGGAGCTCTACACTCTCCATCCCTGGGGCCGACTTCTCGTCGCGGGCAGGTATTGATTGTCCCTGGGCCCAAAAGTTGCGTCCAGAGGACGAGATTGTGAGCGACTCAAAACGTTTTGTGTGTGTGTGTGTGTGTGTGTTTTCCTCCGTCGCCGCACCCGTCCAGCCGTGACCACGTGGCTCCCGCAGGAGGTCCCCAAAGAGGGCGAGAAGCGCCAAAGTCATCCGTGCTTCCTCCCTCCCTTCCCTCAAAAGGCGCCCCCGGCCGTGCTGGTGCGAGGGTGGTGGAAGAAGAGGGCCGCCTCCGAAGAGTGATGCAAGTGGCCAGCCACACTGGCAGGCCTCTGTTCGGGTTTTCTACTTCGCGCACACCACACACCGCTGGCGCACCGCACACCGCACACCGCTGGCACACCGCACACCGCACACCACTGGCACAGCCTTCAGCGCGGTGGCCTCTCCTCCCGTCGGCGTCGTCGTCGCCGCCGCCGCCGTCGTTGTATTGGTCGTCGTCGTGGTCGTGGTCGCAGCCCTGGCGACGACAAAGGGTGAAGAGTGACCCTTCGCCGGAGTGACCTTGGATGCGCGGTTTCGGGAGGCGTCGCGGGGCCAAGCCCAAGCACGCAGGCCGCCACTGTCACACCACACGCGACCCCTGGCAAGCCTCGCACCAATGATCACTCGTGTGGATGGTCATTCTTACGCGCAGCCGAGTGGTTACGCCTGGGTGTGGTTTGCGATGTTGGTCGCCGGGGCTTTGGGTGCGCCGCGTTGCCCTCATCGGGCCTCCTCGGGGCGCGACGGAGAGCTCTATCGATGTCCTCGCCCGCCCTCCAGGGGGCTGGTTGCAACCACGCCACACCCTGTGCAATTCACACCCTTTGTCAACCACACCCTTCGGAGTCGCCGAGTGGTCGTCGTCGTCGTCATCGTCGTGGCTGTCTTGGTGGTCGTGGTGGTGCTCGTCGTCGCCGTCGCCGCCGTCGTCGTAGTCGTCGACGACAAGACCGCGCACCGTCGGCCCAACCTCCCCGGCTCGAGCGCTGGCGCCCTCGGCCCCCGCGGGCGCGGCGGCCTCGAGGCGGGTGCCGGGCCTTGCCGCAGGGCCCGCGCCCCTGCGGCTGGGCTGTGCGGCCATGGCGCTCGCCGCCGCGGGTCCTCAGCCTCCTCGCCCTCCTCGCCCGCCTCCTCCTCCTCGTCCTCCTCTTCCTCCTTGCCCTCCTCGCCCTCCTCGCCCTCTTCTTCCTCCTCCTTCATCTCCTCAAGCAGTGGCGAAGCGTCCTGGCTCGCCTGTAGCCCTACCAAGAAATGTTCTAAGAACCTTTTGTGGTTTCCACAAAATGTTCTTAGAACATTTCTGGCGGAGTCTGTCTTGTTTTAGCACGTCGTGCTTACGTTCTAAGAACATTTTTTGGTTTTTCGAACATTCTTGGGTTCTAAGAACATTTCGTGGTATGACTATCGGAATGCCGGGACGGTCGGTCCCTGCTCAAACTCCTCTTCGCCCCCCCAAGAGCACAGAACGGCCCTCCTCGCCCCCCTCCCGTCGCCCTCTCATCCTCCTCCTCGCCCTCTTCCTCTTCCTCCTCTTCTCGAAGAGCGCAACAGGGCGTAATCATATTTTCTCGGAGGTCGGTTCGAATTTCTTGGGTCGGCCCTGAGCCCTGTTTGGCGCGTTTCGTGCGCCAGGAAGATGTGTCAGCGCCCATCCAAGAAATCAACGCGGCCCTCCGATGATTAACCCAGTGCCCCAGATATTGAATCATCCCCCCCTGTCCCACTGAGAGTTTTTCATCGCCGGCGAACAAAGATTTGATCGGGGAAGATGGGCGGCAAGGCCGAATTTTATTATCGCGGGGGAAGATTGCGAATCGAAGTTGTTATCTTCGTATGTTGATTCCTAAGGACTCCGATGGATGTCCTAAGGATTCTTCTAGATGTCCTAAGGATTCTTATAGATGTCCGAAGGAATCCTGTGGATCCTATGGATTGCTTAAGGGGTCCGATAGGTATCCTAAGGAATCTTATGGAATCCCAGGAATCCCATGGATATCCTAACGGGTCCTATGGATTTCCTAAGGGATCCAGTGCATCCTCTCAGGAAGCCTATAGAGTTCCTGGGGAACCCAATGGCTGTCCGAAGGGATCCGATGGATTTCCATCGGATTCTCATAAACTTCCAACAAGGAATCCGCATGGATTTCGGAAGGAGTCCTATGGATTTGCTGAAGAATCCGATGGATGTCCGAAGGACTCGTATGGATGTCCTAAACAGTCCGGTCGATTTCCAAAGGAATCCGATGGAAACCCTAAGGAATCCGATGCATGTCCTAATGAGTCTTATTGATTACCGAAAGAATCATGAGGATGTCCTCTGGAATCCTACGGAGTTCAAAGACATCCAGTGGATGTCCTCAGGATACCCATAGATGTCTTAAGGCATTCTAAGGATGTCCGAAGGAATCCAATGGATTTCTTCAGACGTCCGAAGGGTTTCCGGAGGAATCCAATGGATTTCCAAAGGAATCCCCAGGATGTCTGGAGAATTCAGATGAAGCGTCCAGAATAATTTTTTGTTATCAGCATCGTCGTCATCATCATCAACATGTTGCGATCTCCGGGGATATGTTTATTTTTCCCCCGACCCCGATTTTTAGTATCCCCAGGGGATTCATATCAGGAGCACATGGTTATGCAATTCTGTTTTCACCTAGTGGTTCTTACTTCTTACAAACGAACTGGGCCTGTCTGCAGTTTGTTTGGCTATGTGATCGCCGTCGCCGCCTCGCTGCCGCCGAATAGCCACCACGTAGATTCTCTGTTATAAAATAAGTCTGCCCTCGGATTTGACCGCCCGCCTCTTCGTATTGAATGTTACATATGATTCGGCACCATCGCCCATCCTAAATCACACCGAAGAGCGGAAGTATATGTATGTATGTTTATATCACAGCACGGGGAAGAACATCATACATAACGGTGAGGTATTGTATGGTGTATCAGGGAAATACGAAAGAGTGCTACTGACATTTACAGAAAATACCACCCCCACAAAACACACACACACACACATATATATATATATATATATATATATATATATATATATTATATATATATATATAGATAACACAAAAAACATATAGTGAGGGAGAGAGAGGGAGAGAGGGAGAGAGAGAGAACAAAAAAGAGAGGGAGCGCCCACCGACAGCACTTATTTAGAGAGTTACCAAGAGGAAGGAAAAAAGAGGGGGGCGCCCACCGACAGCCACCACCAAGAGCCGCCTACCTAAATCGTCCAGCTATTTTTGCAAATCTCTCGAGGGGGCGCCCACAGAAAGTTGCCCAGCCGCCCACCCACATCGGCCGGGTACTTTCGCCAATCTTTTTCTTACACCTGAGAAAACCCAATCAGTGGATGGCCCGGAAGTTTTTGCAAGCACCATGCCCAGCCGTAGTTTTCGCAGGAGGGGATCGTGTGAGAGAGTGAGAGAGGGAGCGAGAGAGAGAGAGAGAGAGAGAGAGAGAGAGAGAGAGAGAGAGAAAGAGAGCATAACACTTTGAACCACAACATCATACATAACGACTCGGTCGTGTATTGCACATCGGGGAAACACGGAAGAGTGATATTGATATCGAGAAGTACCAAGAGAGAGAAAGAGAGAGAGAGAGAGAGAGAGAAAGAGAGACATATCGCCCACCGACAAAGCTGATACAGAGAGATACTTAGAGAAAAAGTGAGGGGGCGCCCACCGGCAGCCGCACACCAAGAGCCGCCCACCGAAATCGGCCGGCTCTTTCTGCCAATATTCGCTAGGACCTCTTCAGTGTTAACACTGCTTGAGGAAGGTGAACTCACATCATCCCAGCCAGGCCGGTCTCCGCTCCCCCCTTCATCCTCTGCAGAGAACATTATGCGCGCGCGCTCGTTTATAAAGATCATCAATTCCCAATGATATTTTGCATAGCGTGGGGCGAAGTGCACGCGCGCGTCGTCGCGCGCGCGTGCCAAAGTCCTTCCAAAACATGAGGTTGTGTAAGGACTTAAAAACCGAATGCCCCGACAACGTGTAAAAAACCAAAAGTGCCGCAACCCGGATTTTCCCAAAAAGACTTGGGCTCTGGTTTTGCGATTTCTTTCGAAAGCAACAGTTTGTCCAACCCTTCTACAACTAGTTACTAACCAGGCCTTTCGCGCCCGCATGTCGACGTCGCCCGAGCACCTTTGCGCGCGTGCTGTCTTGAGAACCGCTTGCAAAACATTGGGCGAATTGCACGCGCGTGCGTCGTCGCGCGCGCATGCCGAAATCGCTCAAACGCCGTGGGCATTGCGCGGATTTCAAATTCGAGCGGCCCGACAATTCATTTACAAACACACGGTTTCGCAACGCGTTTTTTTCAAAGCAAGCATGCTTTCGGGCTCTTGCGGATTCTCTCGGTATTTTTTCTCTCCGACGTTGTCGTTGAATTCGGCCAAACGGGCCCCTCGCGCCGCGCGTCGACGTCATTGGGGCGCCCTTGCGCGCGTGCTGGGTCGGGGGGGGGGGGGGGGGGGGTATCTGCGATCAGTGTGGCATGTCACCGTGCTGGCCACTTTCCGCGCGTCGGCCGCGCGCGCGTCGACTTTCCTCCCGAACCTTCATCAGCGACGCGAGGGCGCTGTCATCGTCGTCGGCGCGATCGGTAGTGCGCCGTCGCTGGCCTTGCCGCCGTCGATCTCAGCATCGCCACCAGCGCCGCCACCATCATCATCGAGCCTACCGCTGTCGACGTTGCCATGGTACCGCGCCCGCCAAAGTCATCGACTCGCGCTGCAGCGTCCGCTGGGAAGTGCCCGGCGGCCAGTGCCACCGCGGCCGCGTCGGTTGCGCCAAGCTATGCGGCCGCTGCGCGCGCGAGAGCGCGGGGGCCAGTGCGGCCGCAGAGATGCCAGTCAACGCCAAGCACTCATCGCTATCGCCGCCTCGCTGGGTGCTGCAAGCCAAGTGGCGGGCGGGCGGGTGGGGCGACTGCGCGAGCAGTGAAGTGGGCAACTGATTACGAATGGCAACTAATTGCGCCGCATAAGTTGCACCACGTATATCGCGCATTGTAGATAGTTCCAGATAAATTTCACGCCCGCCGCACAACGTAGATTGCACCACAAAGAACACATAACATATATTGTACCGCGCAGGTCCCACAACGCAGACTGCACAACGTCTGTTGCGCAGCGCGCGGTCAATTCATGCGGCGCTGGCGACGCCAGCGAAGGCGTTCAATGTTGAATTGCGACGCGGAGGCACCGATGAACACGGAGCCCGACGGGGTTCAATTTTGAACGATCGGAGCCGCGATCGGTTCAAGGATAGTTGATCGACGCGGCGCGAAGACCGTTGCGCGCGCAGGCGACGCGCTAGCGCGTGAATGGAGTCCGCTCGTATCACCTCTCTATCCATCTATATTGCCGCCGTCTCGGCTCGGGCGTTAGAAACTGGCGCCGCGCCGCTTGCCCGCGGTCCGTGGAAAGAGGGGTCGCTACCCTCTCCTTGAGCTTCCTCTACCTGTGGGTAGCTCAGTAGATCGGTTCTTCGGTCGTTACCTCGCATGCGCAGGTTATCAGCCGATGATATTCCGCTCTCCGTTGTGACGCCCCGCGTCGCATTTGCGTCGGCCGCGTGTCGCTGGGCCCCGCGGTGACCAGCGCCCCTGCGCGCGCTGGGTCTTCGACGGAGCGCGGGCGCTGCAGCGCCGCGGGGGGGGGTGCGGGACAGGGCGGGGTGCCGCGACCCCCCCTTCATAGGGGAGATGGCAGCGCCGTGCCGATGCCAGACTTGGGGCGGAACTCGAAGCAGTCATGGGCTCCTTCCCGCCTCCCGCGCCGGCGCCATCTCGCGCGCTAGCGTTTCGACGCGGCGCGCGGTCGACCGCGGCGTCTCCTGGCGCCGCATATAGTTCAGAACCTTCGCGGGTGAAACACCCGCGGTTGCCCTCGAAGCCGCCGCCGGATTCGCCTCGCCCCCTCCCCCAACCTCCGCCGGCGGACGCGTCCGCGGCGCCGACTCCGGAAGATCGCGCTGGGTGGGCCTCGCAGCGAAGAGCCCCCGAGCGGCATCGCATCCAGATTCCAAATAGGGGCAGCGGCCGCCGCCCCGCCCAGAGGCGCCCGCGGCAGAGTTTCTT